ATAGCTTTTACAAAATTTTTCATCAGTCCCAACTTAATATGCAAAGGTGGAAGCAACAGGTTTTTGGGATCAAGTAGTGGTTCATGAGCAATTTTTTTGAGTCCTGGAGTTAATACCTGATGTAGTGGCCACTCCTTCTGTTCATAATGACGATCTCGCGCACGACTGCCCCATTCACAAAGTAAATAACAATATTTGGTATATCTCAGTTGCATTCCAAGAAGAAGGGCTATTACCTTTAAATTTGCACATATGGCCCATCCATATTCAATATAACGGATACGCTCTAACAGAACTCCCATATTTTCATATGATTCCTCCATATGAACTGCATGCGCTATAGGTACAGATGGATATTTATTACCGTTGTGTACCAATACCGCTTTCAAACTAAGCTTTCATCCTTTTAATCTTGACGCTAAAAGTTCTGACTGGGATTTTAACAGATTTAATTCTCGAAATAAGTCATTAGGTTCGCCCTGTGTGATCACATGCGGCGCTGTTGAACATCCTGGCAGGTCAAACGAAGGATTGGAAATTTTTACGCTTTCAGAATCGGTGGATTCGACTTTTACATCCCAAGACCAAGATTGTGGTGGAACGGACAGAAAGTTCATCACTATGCTTAACGGGCCGCAAAGCTGATGGTAAATTAAAATACTTAACAGTATGTTTCGATTTTGGTCCAATACCTTTAATATTTGTGAGGCAAAAATAGCAATCAGTAGTATGGTCTCTCGGTTTTCTCCAAACCATTGGTACCGCAAAGGGCATTTTACGATTGTCGCCTCTTAACCAACCTGTTAGCAACGTTACGCAAGTCTTACAACATATATGAGGGGAGCATAGTTTATCTTGGTCGTCAATTTTGATTCTAAAATAAAGTTGTTATGCTTTCAACACAAGGGGAGTAAAAGTAGGTTTTTGGGATTTAAAAGTTAGCTCTCCGCTCTCTTTGTACTATTTACACAATTTCTAGGCATTGTCCATAAAGCTAGACTCGATCACAATAAACTAAAAACAACACCGTTTTAACAAAAATTGACACTACACAGAACATCTCAGTACTCTTCAACACAGAAAACGTAACTGACTCGGCTGCTATTAGTCTACTAATAAACGCAATATGCTCTCTAAACATAGAGCTCGCATATAATAAACAGGAATAGACAGGTCTTAACATTATATTTGTGCGCCATCGCATAAAAGCCGAGAAATGCAGCAATATGAGATGTTACGTATTGTAATTCATAAAAGTAGATGTTACCGAAAATCTGTGGGTGATAGAAAAATTCTGTTATTAGATTTGACTTAAGGGTCTCAAAATACATAAGGTACACCCAAAAATTGTCATGTCACAAATACTGTGTTTATCAGTGTTATTGATAGAGAATAACAGAATTTCAAAGGAACGTGACAAAAGACCTTATGTCTCGTCCATACTCCCTTCTCTAAAAAATGTCAATAATGTCACTGCAAACTCATCAGCGATTGCATCGTAACAGGGACCGGCTCGATGACGTAATTTTGCTTGAATCATTGGGCTAATTTAACTCCTCCGTTTATTGTTCTCAATGGTGCGGAAATCTTCAGATCATCATCTGGTGCCTGCTGCTTTCAACAGCGCTCGTTAATAGCCACTTCAATTTCAGTGTTTAAGCATCCTGAAAGCAGGCTGGGGTTACGAATTATGAAACCGAAATCACTTATTAGGTTAGTACTCGATGACATGCGATACAGTGGTTTAAGTGGAATTGGCAGAGAGATTTATGTTGCGTTTATACTTGTATTGAGTATTATATTTTTCTAGGGAATGAACCGATAATTGAAAAAATACTAGAAGCTGATTAGAGGCGAATCCTGAAAACCAAGTCAACTCTCTTTATTGATTCTATTGAGAACCTACATTCTACATTAGTTCCACCATCGTTTTTCTTATACTGCGATTCGAGGTACATATTCTCAATTACGAAGTGAAATTCTCTATCGTCCTCCTCCCAGCGCAAGGAGTAGGTCCTTCAGTCTATCAACGAGTAGTCTGTTTAGTCTGGAGTGACCCACCTGGACAGATCGAATAATTCTTTACCTTTATTCAACATTCTTTGTCAGCACCCAGTGAGTTAACGATTGACTCATTTTTGGAACAAACACATCATCTTGTTTAGGGTCTGCTTGAAGATATTTGCATCTTCTGGGTAATTTTTCGATCTCCTGTGCATTGGTCGTCCTCTCATTAGGATAGAAAATTTCTGTGACGATCCCCTCGTTGATACTCGCTATGAATATCTTAGAAAGTACTATCATTAGAAAAATTAAAACTTTATATCGTTGCTAACGTTTTTCTCCCTATTCCATGCTCTAAACCAATAATTTTCAGGAGCGAGAAAGGATACGACGCAACGTAAAGAAACCTAATAAGATTCGGTTACAATAACGCTACAGTTGCCATTCTCCGTATCAGCTACAAAATGTGTCCTTCACATCAGTGTCAAATAACACCCGAACTTCTATGGGTTGCATCGATTTTGGTATTAAAGAACACAGTCTCATCTCGTTCAATAATAGAGTGAGAATTATTGCAATTATTCGATCGAACCTTCTAATAACCTATAATTCTAATAGAAAAGGGTTGTTCCTCTCAGACCTAACATGCCATAAAACGCAGTAAAAATCGTTTGCTACCTGTTTCAAATTCTGATGTCAATACTTTATGATTAAAGTTTCAAAATAGGTATATCATTGATCACGTTAATTTAAGAAAAATAGTTACTTTTTCGCTTTGCCAAATACTTCATATTAACTACATTTCCTAAACATAAAAGCAGTAAATCAATTTATCAAAGGAAAAAATTATACTGCTTTGATTCTCTCTTTGACACAAGTACCTATTATGGTGTTTACTTTTTTAGTTTTTTATGTAATAATTCTGCTATTTATGAATAACTATTTATTGTTATAGATAATTATTTTTCCTCCAAAAGAATAAATTAAAAAAATATTCTTCGTTCAATTCAACATATAAGAAAACGTGATGCTTTGAGTTTATCTATATAATTACTTTTGTTGAATGTGATTATTAACTGTAATCATATAATAATTATTAAATTGAATTATTAGACGTTGAAAACGTTCATTTGCCTGCTATTTGTGTGAATTTCTATATAGATAAACATTATTAAGGCTGTAAATTTGTTGTCGCGGAGTATAAAATCAATAAATCACATTTTACAGCTTTTTTATTCACAAGAATTAAAGACGGAATGTCATTCATTTTAGATCTCAACAACAATTAAAATGGCTCTCTACAAGGTCATGCAATATTCATTTACTTTTCTTATGTTGTAATAATATTATTTATTTAGTTTACTCAGTCTTCGATTTTTACCCAGCGTCGATTTTTACACTTTTTCCCAAGTACGGCAGTATCACTGGTCGTGTTCATTATACACATATCAATTAAATACCCCTAAAACTCGCAACTTTTTCAAAAAAGGGTCTCACAAAAGTTTCAGGAGATGAAATAAATAAAATTAAAAAATACATTTTTAAAAACGCGCTTTTTTCAGCCTCTGATAAAGCAAACTAAAGATTAATAAATATTTTTTCTGATTGGACTGTCGTATTGTATGTAATAACCTAACATGGTTTCATGTGAAAACTTAAGACGAAGAAGCTTCAATATCATTCAAAAGGTTAAAAAGTATACAACCATAGATTTCCAATCGAAAACAATTATGTCTATTATTAATTTCTTTTATTAACAGCTGAATAAAAGCTTGTTTCTTAAAATGTACTTTTTCTATTATTCATCTTTACTTTTTAGTATTTATGTTGAATAGTTAATTCATTAATTTGTAATTCACACATTTTATTTCATTAATACAACTTCATAAAACTTCTAACTTTATTTACATTATAGGATCGACATAGCTCATATTTATACTCGTATTACGTAAATACCTACTTATATCTATATTAATTGAGGCATAGTGTACGAATATTTTTGCGTACTATCTAATGTTAAAAAGCTGAAATATTTGATATGGTTATTGTAGATGAGTTTCATCAGATCCTAGAACCAGAGTATTTGTCGAGAAGAATCAAAGTTGTCCCAATTTGATAGGTTTGCGTCGATTTATTAAAAAGTTCCCATAGTCAGCTCCCGGCTCCATCATCAGATCAGCTCCGTGTCATAATAATACCGCATTTCGGCTCTGTGCCTACGGCCTGACCGTTGAGATTACGTTCCCTATCTACAGCTCCGGAGTCAGTATGTGTGCGTCTCTAGTCCCCCTTACCTTCGTCCTCCTCCCCTTTCTGTACGCCCATGCTCCTTGGAGCGATGCGCGCGCTGGCTAGTGGAGAGCGATTCCCCGCTCGCCCTTCAGTACGCTTTTATCTATCGCACGGATAGGGTGTGTGCGTGTGCGTATGTGTAACATCGCGAGTTAAACGTTGTGTAACGTTCGAGAGAATAATAGTATAAATGCAAAGGTAAGAGACAAAAACCTTAGTTTGACAATTTAGTGTAGATGGCTACCATTTGATATAAAATTGTCACGGTCTCGGATCACTCGGTCCAGACGTGAGACTCCCTTCTAATGCATCTTGGGCAAATTCGCTAGAGCATAATATGGGCACTTGTGTGCAAGCGCACAATGCCCATTCATAGGAAAATTGAAGGGAGTCCTGCAGCCGGATCCATCTACACAATGTTTCGGCCCGACCGGCCCGTCAAGTCGGCCCGACCAGCTGCAGACTTCGGCCCGACCGGCTGCAGACTTCGGCCCGACCGGCTGCAGACTTCGGCCCGACCGGCCGCTAAATTCGGCCCGACCGGCTGCGAATTTTGGCCCGACCGGCCGCTACGTTCGGTCCGACCGGCTGCAAATTTTGGCCCGACCGGCTGCAGAATTTGGCCCGAACGGCTGCAGATTTCGGCCCGACCGGCTGCATTTTTGGCCCGACCGACTAACTAATTATAGCACATCTGCTTCCAGATGGCGATGGCAACCAATTTTGTTACTCTGGGTGAACTCTGGTCCAGCCACGTTGAAATGGAGGAAGAAGATGAAGCGATATTTTCCAGAATCAAGGTCTTAATAGAGAACCATCTGCCAGACGGCTGGAGAGACTGGAAGGTGATTGACTGGAAGAAAGAAGATCTATTTGGGAAAAAGATAGACCACAAAGTATTGAACAAAATTCGCTTCGCCCTCCCCACATTGGAACTGGTGAAAGCATTCTACCCAGAAGCAACATCGGTGGGAGAGAAAACCTACCGAAATATAAAATTGAGGCTTCTCGACTGGAACCTCTGTAGAGCATTGATCATGAGCCCACGGCAGGTAGCGTGTCAGTTACGAGGATCTATGGCTCAAGCGGAGCTCTTTAATAAGGCGGTGGAACCACTTAAACATACTATTGTAACGGTTTCACCGTCCGATCGTATTTATTAAATCACTTCTCGATTATCATTTCATTAATCCCATCTCTAGCTTTTTTGCTTGGAAAATTTTCCGCTTGGAGCGCTTGATGCGGAGTTCCTGATCTGCGATCTTCCTCGCGCTTTTTTTTTCACCTGAGCCGCCGATCGAAGAACGGCTAGAAATTTCTTCTCAGTAGCACAAGGTTATATAGCACCATGTGCTAGAATTTTCTAGGATGTGTGTCCGTATAGGACAAAAATGATTGGGGCCACCCCCTTTCTCTTTCCCTTTCACTTTGCCTAGCCTTGGCCAATATTTTCACCCATGCATGTGCCTTGGCAGCGCCATCGCCTTTAACTTCGCCTACAACTGGTTATGAAGCCACTATATGGAGGTCACCCCTCATAACTGGGACCTCCCCTTCAAGCCCCTGGCCATCCTGGCTTCAGTCGAGTAAAAATGGACCAGCGAAAGATAAGTCGATAGCGTTATAGCAGCGCCAAAGATGTAAAACTTATTTTGTTATTTTTGTAAAATTGTAATGTAATGAAAATGCCTTTTTTTGTTAAATAAAATCTGTTAAATTTTTGTGTTCTGTTTGTTCTTCTATCCTCTAGCCATGCCATGGTCGACACACAGCTACACGCCTGTAGATGTCTTCATGCCACCGACTGAGCTACCGGAAGCTAATGGTAACCCCCTTTCTGTGATTGTGCAGAAAAGTTGGAATCTTCATTGCATTCCATCTTTTCTGGACTTTTTGCGGAAAGGAAGCGTTACATAAATTGGCACCCCCAACGTGGGGCTTCGATAGGTGTTTGGCTTTGTCGACAAGTGGTTTGCTAGTGGAAGATTGGCAGACAGAACATAGTTTTCAAAATTCTTTACAATTTTTGGCAGCATTTCTATTTTTAATTGCTTTTGGTACTCGAATTTCTGAATCCTTAATCATCCTTACTTTTTGCTTAATGTTTAAATTTTTATCAAAAGATTAAAATTTTTCCACCTGTTTATTTCATAGGCATACTATTAACTTTTAAATTGTCTTGTTTAGTAGTCAGCGAGATCATTGCCAGAATTTTTTTTCTCACATACTACTATAGTTTTTATTTACTGCTGGGGACAGTTATAACTTTTTTCTCATTGTAGTTTTGAGATTGATGATATTTTGATAATTTTTTGTTGAATATTGATAGTCTGGGAACTTTAGGTTTCCCAGCATTTTTGTCGAATATCATCAAACTTTTGATTGAGGTTGTGACTATTGTTGTTGATAGTTTATATATTCTTATATGCTTTTCATTTTTGATCACTAACCTCTTAGTTTTTGAAAGTATTTCTTCATGTGCAGTTTTTTGATTTCTTGAGACTTTTCATGTACGCATATATAGCCTAATTGTTGGATCTCTGGTGTACTGATATAGCTCTCATGATGTTTGGTACGTAGGAAATTTACTTTCAAAATTATTTTTGCCTTCCCCAAATGTATTTACTTTTTGAATTTTTGACTGTACTTGAACTTTTGATCATTTGTTTTCATTCTGATGGCAATAATCTACTGACTAGAGTTATCTGGAGTAAATCATTTTGCGATTTATCCATTTTTCTGAATTATATGAAATTGATATTCATAATTTTTCGTATATTTTGGCGGTTTACTTTTTTCCAAGTATTGACACTTGGACATAGTACTTTGATACTTACCTTTCTTTTTTTAAGAAACAAATGATGTTTTTCTTGACTATATTTTTGCTACTTTTCAATGAGGGGGTGACTCCTAAATCATTTTTACCTATACAAAGACACACATACTCATTTATGATAATTAAACTTCAACTTGTTGTTGAAATAGTATACGTTCCTCAGTAACTATTGTAGTAGTTTTGTCTCTTGTTTGGAGCAAAAGTTTTCATAATTTTTATGGTTTTATAGTTTTATCTGGCATATTCTTTGGGGGAAGTTAGAACATTAGTGTCTGATTTTCCATTGGATTAACAGGACTTGAACGTCTCTGTACTTTTTTAATGTATGTCAGATATAAAATAATTTTTTTAAGATTCGGCTGCTCATGTTTTTGTATTGAAACTTTTTGTTTGTATTGTTAGTTTTTTATAGTGTTTTGGATCCTTGTCATTTATTGATGTATTCACGTTTTTAACTTTTTTTTTAAATATAATAATTACAAAAATTTTCCGCTCAATCGAAGGGGGCGAGTTTTTCGATCTGTACATTGGAGCGAGTAGGTTTTCCTATATTTATTTCCTAGTACAGATGCGAACGGAGAAGAATTTCCTTTGATAATGAATAAACTTATTTGCTGTAAGAGGCAGCTGAATGTTTACTTTGGACATTAGTCATCGTTGTTCTTTCAACCTTTTGAACCATTACGTCAGTCCACCATGTACAAAATTTACAAGTCATAATTATTTTTCTGATTCCAATTTAATGTGTATACTTCATCTTTTGAATATTTCATTTTTCTGAGTGTACTCAAAATTTAAATTGCATTCCCGATCTAAGTCATGTGACAAATACTGTGTATAATATTTTATAATGTTTTTATGCGTATATTTTCTGAATTTCCTTTACATACTTACGTACTTCTATTTTTGAAGTCTATTACTTTTGAAGTTTTTGATAGTATCCTCTTTTTGAATTCATTATAACTTTCTTCGAGAGCACAGACTTACATTGATTTTTGGTTCAAACTTTTGATGTTTGTTTACATATTTTTGAGTGGTTTTGAACTTTGACAGTATTTTGTAGTCTGGATAGTTACATAGATTCGTTGCGATGTATGCCTTGAGGGTCTTGTACTATCCACAGTTTCTTTAATTAAAAGTGTTTTCTTCATATGCATTTTATTTTCTTCTTGAGACTTGTCATATATGCTTTCCGCCTAGTTGCAAATCTGTGCGTATTGATAAACTCTTGAAACCTCTGGCGTATAAGTAAAACTCACTTTTGATATAGTTATTTATGTCTCAGTTCAATTCAATCAGTTCAATTTGATTTGAAGTAATTGTCAATTCCTTCTTGAGATTTTTCATATATGCTTTCAGCCTTTGTGCACATTTGTGCGTATTGCTAAGTCTTGAGCTTGGTTGCGACATTGCTTTCATGTTTCGCTATAGATCTTGAAATATCTGGTGATTTTGCTTTTGCATTATTGCATTTGTTTTGATAGTCTGCTCTCATAATCTTTTTTTCCGGCTTCTTATTTCTTTCAATTTCTGTCTTGACTTGAAGTAATCGCCAATTCTTATAGATTCAGTATAGTAATTCTCTTTTCATACTTTACACTGGTAAATTATTATAGTTTTTCTAATCTTGTAATATTTCATATTTGAACTTAACTTTCATTTTACAATGTTATGGTTATTCTCAGTGTAGACTTTGAAGTGCGCTGATGATATCAGTGATCTACATGAGAATATTCCATAGACTATAGACATTCTTGTCTAGGGCTTTGGAATGCACCTATGGTGACCCTAGAAAGTTGTCTTTCTCTCATATTTTTGCTTTAAATCAAAATTCGAATTCTTACCTATCATATTTATTTCTATTTCTTGTTCACTAGATTTTTTTTATAACTCCAATTTTGCACCTACATATATCGTAGTCTTTTGCATACAATTTTTGCTTGCGGCATTACTCTCATGTATCATGATTTAATAAAATATCTTGTGATTTTCGTTTCGCTATTTTGCATTTTACATATGCTCACTTCGTTTCTCATTTATTACTCATGAAACTTTTAATATTTTGCTTACTTTTAAATTTTTTTGAGAACCCTTTATAAAATCATGCTCATATAGCTTTAATATTTCCTTTCACTTTATGATTTTAACACTATTAGATTTACAGTTGCACTTGTGTTGCACTTAGTTTTTTTGGAAATTTATTTTGCTCTTTTCTATATTCTACTTCAATTTTTTTTTTGGTCTGGTTCTTATGTTGTCACATGACCCGAAAATTTTGATTGAACTTACTCTTGAATTCTAGTTCATTGATTGAACTTAAGCTATATTTTGACTTTGAAAATCTTACTTCAATATTTCATTAATGTCCCTTATATACTTTAATTCTCTGAAAATATTTTGAATTATTTTGTAGTCTTACAGACTGCTGGCGCCCGACAATTTTTTGTGGAATCAGAACTGCACTTAGTTAACATCTTTTTTTGATTAAAATACCTTCGTGATCAAGTTTTCATTGGTTTAGTACTTGTAAATTGTTTTGTTATATAACTGGAATTCTTAATAGAATTTGTTAATTTCTTTTGATTTTCATATTTTGAAAATAGTAATGCAGAGTTTTTTTATATTGGATATTGGTTTAAAATATCACTGTAGATCATAATCTTTTTGGGTTTGGAGTATTGCGAGATAATCTGGCAATTGTTTTGAGAAAGATTATTATTTTTTTTTAGTACCTCTTATGGTTTAGGTACTTACTTAGTTTTGAAGTTTTTAGTAGTCAGTCGTGCATTTTGGATGCCATTGTGATTCGTGCTTGGACTACTGCTGAAACTTTTGGTTTATTATTTTTCTCGTCTTAGGTATGACGATGTTTTATGTTTTGGGTTTTTCATCATATGATGATAGTTTTTTTTTAAGTGCAACTTCACTGTACTTTTCAGCGAGTTGGTGCTATAACCATCCCTCTTGTTTGGTAGACTTGAGGCTATCCCTTTTTCTTCCAATTCTCTTCTAACATTTTTGTTTCTACCTTACTTTTACTACTTGTTATCTGGTCGAATGGTTGTACATTTGTCCTTCCGGGATAACTTTCAATTTTCCTAGTAAAAAAAAAATTCTTAAATGCTTCTTCGATTTTTTTTTTTTTTTGGTTAAGTTGGGGCGAGTGTAACGGTTTCACCGTCCGATCGTATTTATTAAATCACTTCTCGATTATCATTTCATTAATCCCATCTCTAGCTTTTTTGCTTGGAAAATTTTCCGCTTGGAGCGCTTGATGCGGAGTTCCTGATCTGCGATCTTCCTCGCGCTTTTTTTTTCACCTGAGCCGCCGATCGAAGAACGGCTAGAAATTTCTTCTCAGTAGCACAAGGTTATATAGCACCATGTGCTAGAATTTTCTAGGATGTGTGTCCGTATAGGACAAAAATGATTGGGGCCACCCCCTTTCTCTTTCCCTTTCACTTTGCCTAGCCTTGGCCAATATTTTCACCCATGCATGTGCCTTGGCAGCGCCATCGCCTTTAACTTCGCCTACAACTGGTTATGAAGCCACTATATGGAGGTCACCCCTCATAACTGGGACCTCCCCTTCAAGCCCCTGGCCATCCTGGCTTCAGTCGAGTAAAAATGGACCAGCGAAAGATAAGTCGATAGCGTTATAGCAGCGCCAAAGATGTAAAACTTATTTTGTTATTTTTGTAAAATTGTAATGTAATGAAAATGCCTTTTTTTGTTAAATAAAATCTGTTAAATTTTTGTGTTCTGTTTGTTCTTCTATCCTCTAGCCATGCCATGGTCGACACACAGCTACACGCCTGTAGATGTCTTCATGCCACCGACTGAGCTACCGGAAGCTAATGGTAACCCCCTTTCTGTGATTGTGCAGAAAAGTTGGAATCTTCATTGCATTCCATCTTTTCTGGACTTTTTGCGGAAAGGAAGCGTTACACTATGCGTTCCAGAGAGCTGACGTCGGAGGCCCTTTCAACGGACGGGGAGTCTAATTATACGTCCCGAAGTAAAAGGAGACGGTGTCAATCGTCCAGCTCAGACGACGAGTACCCGGTCAGAACCGAGAAACCAATGAAGAGGAGGCGGCGAGTATTGTCTTCGAGCTCGGAGGAGGATGTCAATGAGACAAGGCTACGCCGCGTGGAAAGCATGGTCGAGAATCTTTACCACTTGATCTCAGGAAATAAAGAGAACGATGGCAGCGTCATGAATTCGACGTGGCAAGCTCCAACTCCTACAGGTGAAGAGCTGTATGACGCCGACAGTATTGGCACATGTGGCAGCGTAAACGACTGGGACACGTTTTCCCCTGTCACTAGGGAAATCGAGCCTACAGTCCCTAGGGCGGACCCAGTAATCGAGACACAGGGCATGAAATGCCAGCGTTTCGGGGAAGAGACATGGAACAAGATTCGTTACGTGGACGCTCAGAAAAAACTCCACGAATCACCAGTCTTCAGTACTCTGAAGGTTAACTCATCCTTGTACAACAATGGACATGCAAGCCCAATGACAGATATGTTATCCAAAAGTGACCTGGCCTTCGGGACTATCTCACACGGTCTACTGAAGCAACGGAGAATCATACATGAGGCTCTGAAGGAGGCGGGGAACAAACACCCGGAAGCGGCAGACACTTTGAAAAAAGTTTTTGCTGCTAACAGTGAATACAAGACCATCTCGGACGACCTGCTGCAGTTCGTTTGCGGAAAAAGGGCGGAAATCATCGAAAGTCGCAGGAAACTATACGAGCCTAAAAGTAGTTACTATAGGTCCATCGTCAATGAGATTCCTCCGTCAGGTACGCACTTGTGGGATGAAGAGCAGCTGAAAGATGTGGTTAAAATGCATGGAGTGACGAAAATTGCTCCTGTCCGCTGGCAGAGTAATTTGGGAAAAGTCGCACTGAGACAGAAGGTGCCTCAAGGAACTTCTCATGAAAAGTATCTGCATCAAGGTTCATTTAAAAAAATGAAGAAGGCAGAGTTTAAGCATTCGCGTAAGCCGGGGGCGAAAAGTCATACCAAGCTAGCTCGTAAGGAGCAACCACCTTTAGATAAAAGGCGGAGTTTTTGACAGTTTTCAGGCAGGACAACTCGCCAAATATGTCTCTGCTTGGAAAAGTATGGGAGCCTCACAATCGATTCTCAGTATCCTGAAAGGCTACGTGATCCCTTTCTCAATAAAGCCACCAATAACAGTACTATCCCAACCGATACTAAACAAATTCGAGACACCAGCATCCACACAAATGGATCGAGAAATACAAAACCTCATAAATCAAAAGGTGGTAGTAAAACTGCAAACAAAAACAGGTTTCTTATCAAAGATGTTTTTGACGCCGAAATCGGGGGGCTTGTGGAGACCAGTGTTCAATCTAAAAAGATTGAACAGCTTCATCACGCCCAAGAAGTTCCGCCTTATGAACCATCGCAAACTGCCATTATTTCTCCAGGAAAGAGATTATATGGTAAAAGTCGACCTTTCTCAAGCATATTTCCATTTGCCAATAAAGCAAAAGCATTGGCGTTATCTGGGACTTTATTACCGGCAAAACATCTACGCTATGACAGCACTACCATTTGGCCTAAGCTCCGCTCCACAGGTGTTTGCAAAAGTTACGAACTGGGTGGCGAGCTACTTGAGGAAACAAAACATTCGAGTAATGGTCTATTTGGACGATTTTTTGATCGCAAACCAGAATCCAGAAGAACTAAAGCGAGAGGTATCCACCCTGATAGATACTCTCATAAAGCTGGGTTTCTGCATCAACCTGGAGAAGTCCGAAATAAGACCTACACAGAAATTGGCATATCTAGGTATTACGTGGAACACCATAAGAAATCAAAAGAGTTTACCGGAGGACAAAATCCACCGTCTGCAAACATCAATCCAAGCTGGAATCAAGAGCAAGACTTGGAGCTGGAAGCAGGTAAAGGCACTGCTAGGGAGAATGGAATTTGCCTCGTTTGTTATCCCATTGGGTCGACTACATTGCAGAAAGATACAAAGAGCAGTCAATCGGATGTCAGAAAACCAACCAAAGAAACTGTTCAATATAGACCTGGACGTATTGCGAGAGCTAAGATGGTGGGAGAAAAACTTAAAAGGGTCATCCATAATCTGCATGAAAGAACCGGAAGTTCATATAATAACCGATATCTCAAACACGGGCTGGGGAGCCCAAGTAGGAGACACTTTGAGGAAAGGAAACTGGACAGAGCAGCAGGAAAAGTGGCATATCAACAAAAAAGAAATGTTCGTGATCTACTTAGCGCTAAGAAACCACCTAGATCGATTGGCAAACAAAACACTGTTAATTCAGACGGACAACAGGACGGTGGTTTCCTACTTGAGAAATCAAGGAGGAACCAAGTCGGTCACGCTTTTGGCATTGACCAGGAAGATCCTGGAGCTGGCACATCAATACAGTATGTCTCTGAGAATAGAACATATTCCAGGAAACTACAATATTGTGACCGACCACCTATCCAGAGGAAAGGATCTGCCAGACTGGCACTTATCAAGGATAGCTCAGAAGAGGATCTTCGAAAAGTGGGGAACCCCTTACATCGACCTATTTGCGACTCCAGAATCAGCCGTCGTTACAAGATTTGTAACGCAATTCCCATGCAAGGAGGCAGAATTCGTCAACGCATTTACAAGAACGTGGGAGTACAAGCTAGCGTGGATATTCCCTCCTCCACCCCTAATACCAAGAGTTCTCCAACACCTCAACTATTGTCAGGGAGTTTTCATAATGATAGTCCCCAGGTGGGAAAGGGTGTTCTGGCGGCCCCTGCTGAAGAGACGTGCCATCGACCACCCGTTCACCATTCGGAATCTGAAGGCTCACCTGGAAGATCTTCAAACCAACCAGCCTCCTCCAAAGGTAATGGATTTACACCTGGAGGCATGGAAGATACGGGGTGGTCCGATATAGCGAATCACTGGTCAAAGGATGAAAGGAGAATCTTAGAAACATCCTGGCGCAAGTCAACTCTCAAAACGTATGCCGTTGCATGGAAAAGTTGGCAATCGTGGGCGAAGAAAAGAAGAGTTTCAGTTAAAAATCCAAACCCCACGCAGGTGGCTCAATACCTCTGCTTCCTACACAACACAAGAAAATTGGCGCTTAGAACGATCCTATTACATAAATCCACCATTGCGACATTCTCCAATCCACTACATAGTGAAGGAGTTTCCAGTAGCCCAACAGTGAAACAGGTAATTAGAGGTATTGCAAATGCAAATCCTCCAGCAACTAGGCCAAAGATTTGGAACATCGATAAACTTCTATCTTGGATTAATGATAACCATCCAGATACGAATAGTATCTTTCAAGTGGCCCGGCATCTATCGCTGCTTTTGCTGCTATCATCGGGAAGGAGAGTCCATGACTTGACACTCCTTCGAATAGATTCTGGTTTCTTTGAACAAACCGAAGAATACATAATTTTCTGGCCACAACATGGATCTAAGACAGACAAGCATAACTACGTCCAGTCAGGCTGGAAACTCCTCAAAAATCGAGAATGCATCTGGGATCTAGTACACTGGACAACCATATATCTAGAAATATCAGAAAAGAGAAGGAACCTCCACTGTCGACCGATTCCTCAACTATTCGTCACAACTCGTGGGAAGATAGGACCGGCATCTCGGTCAGTGATAGCAGGATGGGTCCGCACAGCGTTGAAATCGGCAGGTATAGAAGGAGGAGCCGGCAGTACCCGCTCGGCAGTGGCAACATCCCGCTTCAATGATAACATGCCATTGGATGAGGTTTTGCAGAAAGGAAATTGGCAGGGATCAAGCAATTTCTTCAAACACTACTATAAAAATATCGATAAGGATTTGGTACCTGACAACAGCAACAGAAGACTTATTTCGGATAAATTTGTCCCTATATAAGTATTATCATGGCTGTGAGCCAAGAATGACTGTTACTTTTCTTTTTATGAACTGTTAGAGTTATCATATTCTGTTTATGTCCTTGTATTGTTGATATTTTCTGTAGGGAAAATATAGAAAGTTCAGTATGGTCTTCATACTATAACCATGTCACAGTACGCTTTCTAACACCGTGGCGCGCCGGCAGATTGTAAACACTTCTCAACGGTCAGGCCGTAGGCACAGAGCCGAAATAGAACAATTTTCCCCCTGAAGGGAAGAAAATTGATATTTCGGGTCTTGCCATAGGCCTGACCTAGGTAACGCCTTGCCGGCGCAAGAGTACTGAAGGGCGAGCGGGGAATCGCTCTCCACTAGCCAGCGCGCGCATCGCTCCAAGGAGCATGGGCGTACAGAAAGGGGAGGAGGACGAAGGTAAGGGGGACTAGAGACGCACACATACTGACTCCGGAGCTGTAGATAGGGAACGTAATCTCAACGGTCAGGCCTATGGCAAGACCCGAAATATCAATTTTCTTCCCTTCAGGGGGAAAATTGTTCTATTGTCATATTCGATGGCCGCCATATTGGATTTAGAACGATGTCACTTTGTTTATGGTATTTCTTCCGTCAAACGATTTCATTTGATATCCACATCGTAGGCGTTATTGTGGAAATGATAAATCGACGTTTTGTACCATCCGCCATGCTGAATTCAAAATGGCGGTATTCAAATGATTTTGTATTTTCACGCTAACCAAACGTGTTTATCAAATTCCAGATAAATTGGTTAAAGTAACCTGGTTCAAAGTTCAGTTTCAACTCAAACGTATTTACGTACAAATAAAAGCTCTTAGAAGGAATCTATCGAAGACCTCTAATATGACCTCTGTCTGTTCAAAATTCTATGTACTCGTACAATACAATCCATAATTAATATTTCACGTCACATTGGTAGGTGAAACTAAAAGTCGAAAAGTAGCTGGAAACTTGACCACATCGCATTTGTTTTGAACGAGACTGCAGTTCAGTTCTTTTTAAAGCATACATTCTTCTGACTTGTATGAACCTTTTTTTGAAAAATATATGGGTGCCAAGTTCTTGTTTAACATGTACGACCTAGCGCTATACGTTACTACGTTTATACCTTCACCGAACGTATAAACGTTACGTCTCGGCAACGCTATGTTCTTGACAAGTGTAAAGTTTTTTGTAGGAAACATGTATATTACTCATAGCCAAAACTTTTGTAGGCATTTTGAATCTTTGTAAGTTCATTGGCTCTATACTTAAGTGATGGCAATATTTCGTCGTTAAAATAATTAGGTACTGGTCCGAGAGGGGCACATATAGACTCCACTGACCTGTCGACGACAATTCAATGTCATTCAGGTTATTTTCATGACCGTCCAAGAGCAATTTATGCAAGACAAATAAGTCGGGTATGGCGAACAGCGAATCCGCCACGCGACACTTGAGTCATTGTTCTTTACGTTTACGCTAATTTTAGCTCATGATAGCCCAGTCCTGGACGATCGATTCGAAATTACACATAGTGATTACTACAGTGAAGAGAAATATTATTTCAACCAGCAGGAAAGAGATAGGGGACCATTGTTATAGTCTTATCCACAATTTTTTATTTTGGTGAGATCCAGTGCCATCTGTATCTATCATGAATGTATTTTCAAACCTTTCTAAAAAAAATTTTTTTTTGTTTACTTCCGACTGGTGAAGCATAAAAATAGCTTGTTTTGATTTTTGGATGTTATACCCAGATTAGCGCATCGAAGGGAAACAATTCAAGAGAGATCATTTGTTTTAAATTGAACGGGGAATTCAAAAATAATTTTTATTTGGCAAAAAAACATTGGCGAACCATTTTTTTCTTAAAAAATATCGAAGTCAATACCCGTACGCACGCCACTGTTAAAGCTAAAAATTATTTTTGCATTGAAAAATATGAAACTTTATTAACTTTCACTACGTACTGCGGTTCTGAAAATATTAATTAATTTCCATTTTTTTCCTAAAGTGACTATAATAAACTATAGTAAACCATAATAAAATATAAAATATAATAAAGTAATTAAGGATGTTTCTAAGACATTTGAATTTTGGAATGAGGCTTCTTATTTTGTTTTTCACATATTCGATTTGAACGTCCCATCTGAGATTTTGATCAATATATATTCCCAGATATTTAGTGCTCCTTTGACGTTTAATGGTTCTCGTGTTGTTTCCTATTCTGACATTTATTTCGTAATATTGTGGTATGTGGTTTCTACAGGATGCGAAAGGTAACTGTGAGTAGCTTAGCGTTGAAATATGCTAGTACGTTGGTAAAATATTCGCATATCATTAAGGAACACCCTGTATACTTAGGAAATGAATGTCGTAGGGTTCTTGATTGAATTGTATCGAAATACTGAAATAATTATCGGAGTATGTATATATTTTTTTTCTCGTTCAATTTTGTCTTCATATCTCTTGCCATATTGTACAGTTTTTATGGTGTAATATAACAAAAATCAGTCAAGGAGATTTTTTAGCAAAAATGTCCTGGTCTATAACCGGGGAGACTATTTGCAGTACATACGATTTGAACATTAAAGTCTCCTTAATCGACGTAGCAGACAATCTATGGCGATTTTTGGCGAGCCAGACGTAAACAGATGATGCGCTGTGCCGAATAATTTGAACAAAGCAAGCAATGTCAAGTTAGTTGACTCTTGAAGATATCTTAAAACGCAAAATCCATTATTCTAAAATACACTATGTTAGAAAGTAGATAAACACCAAGTAGCTATCACAAGATATCGCCCGTGATTCCTGCATATTGTGTCAAAGATAAACCTTGATGCTTCAGTATCACTGTGTTAACTTTCTGTCCATAGACACGTTTTACATCTTCACTAGATGGTAGTTTACAATAATATTTTGCAAACACATCAAGACGCCTGTATTTTTTCCATTTGATATGTTTTTTTGTTTTGTTCTATATCGTACTTACATACTCCTGAGTGTGTGAATTTACTCAGCTTGTTATATTACCATTAAACATCACTCCTAGTCATACCGAAAATTGAAGAAGACTATGCAGACAATTCAGCATCAAAAGAGGCGGAGGACCGCTACCAGTTTCTCAGAAAGTCAAAAACAAAACAGCACAAACGCCTCCTAAAACAATACGGCATCTGTGGTCCTTTGAATACCCCCAGGCGGCACACAATCGCCCTCTTCGTACTCCCGAAAACTTCCAACCTCCACCTCCTAATGAATTAATCTAATTTTCCGGCAGTATGCCACCGGCCGCTTTAGGCTTTCTCTCATTACTTTATTTATGAAGACGCGTAAAACATGCCATCCTTTCAACAGCAGCCAAAACGGAGATAGAGATGGACCAAATGGCTCTCTTTGGTGATTCGGGTTGCAAAATCCACACCACGGGGCAGAAAAATCACTCTACCTAATATTTATTAGCCAACTGAATATGGCGCGCAACGCTTGTCGGCACATTCTCAGCACATACTAGTATAACTAGAGCTATAGTATAGGGTAGGGCTATAATCATATTTGTTTAGGGTTGAACTGTGTATTATTCAGGATTCGAATTAAAATGTATAATTTTATCGCGGATCAACCCAGCTCTCTGAAATTATTTATATATTTATATGTTTCCACCACTAATTGGCAAAGAAATAAGTAGAAAAAATGAAACAAATAAGCTTAGTTTTCCGGGTTGCTGAACATTTTTAGACGTAGTGTAGTAAAAATCATACATGTGATCTTTCTACTTTCTCGTCACTTCAACGCTTAGTAACAAGAGGTTATGCCGCTGGAAAATTTTGAAAACCGACATGGCTCTTATAGTTGCAGTTATTGCTAATAACGCTCAGAATTTCTGTTCCTGTTGTATTTGGGCAATTTCACTGTATATAGTTTTTCCAAAATTCATAAATCTTCTTAACAGTTACGTAAGGAGTTTCAATGTAAATGTAAGTAATGTGTGAGAAATACCGAGTCAACCTACTTGACGCTATTCCCCGTAATCATTATTTTATTTGTGGTCTACTTTTCACTTCCCTCTACTGGCAGGGAAGTATTGCAATCGCAAACATTTTCGAAAATGAGATACATACACCATTATGTTTTTTTAGATGGTATATGACCTGTATATCACGAAAAACCATGTCACTCATTTCCGTCGGTCTGTCTGTCCGCTAGTAGATGAAAATTCTACACATTATTACTACTATGCGAAGGACGTAAAAGATTTATAGTTTTTAAAAAACGGCCCAGCGGCGAGAGAGAAAGAGGCCAAGAAGAATGAAAATAGCTCTACTTTGTTTTTGACGTTTCAGAGTATCCTGATCATTTCTGAAAAAAAAATTAGACTTAAAACTTTGTTGTGGGGGTTATGGGGGGTTGGTGAGGGCTTATATAAGTTTTCTGACGTTAGTTATACAACCTTGGTACTTTTACTCACCTATTAGACATAGTTCACAAATTAGTTCAAAACTTGAAAATATTCTCAGCAAACGGTTCGCGTATCTACCGGTCTCGGCTGCTGCTCTGCTCGCGCTGACACATCTGACCGGGCTAAGGCGACGTTGCCAGATGCACTACCCGTGGGGCAGGGAAAGAATATCTATGGACTAATTGTATGGACCTGTTTTTTGAGTTTTTTCCCAAAGGGTTTGTGTTAAACATAGTCCTTTATGCACTGATAATGGCGATGCGTGGGAAGTGCCGAGTCAACCTACTTGACGCCATTCTTTATATGTTTTCTTACACATATAAATTTTTGATCAACACATTTGTCAGCAAAATCGTGGTTTTAGTTATACGGGGTTGAAGCAGTAGTAACACGTCAATCCGTAACCATGCTAGTTTACGTAGGATTAGCGGTTATGCAGAGTTTTTGTGCATAACATCATGAAAGGGTTTGACTGTTTTGTCAATTTGATTATGTTTTTTATTCGGTGCTTTTGGATTTGTGGTTTCGAGGATCACAACAC